GGGGGGGGGGGGGAGGTAGGATAATGTGGCGTTCTTATAGTGCAAAGCTACCTAAAATTTAAACACACTAAAAAGGTTTCTTTTTGTTGAGACAAGATACGGGAAGCGAAGCTGTGAGTGGCTGGCTTTGGAGGGCACGAGAAGAGGTATAGAACGATCTAAGAAGTATTGGAGAGAGGTGATTAGGTAAGACATGGAGGCTTCAGATTTCCGAGGACATGACCCTTGATAGAAAGTTGTGGATGTCGAGTATTAGGGTTGTAGGTTAGGAGGTAATTGAGTTTTTCCTTACTTTGTACCTTTATGAGGCTAGTCTGGTAGGATTTTTGTCAAAGTCAGCCAGTGGCAATGTTGTGTCTTACTACTCTTTCGTTTTCCATAGTGCCGAGTCTATGTACTGTCTATCACTTTTGCTTTGCATTACTTTCTCATTTTCATGATGTTATTCTTCATATGGTTTCTATTGGTGGTACCGATATTGTCTCTTTTCGTCTTTTTGAGCCGAGGGGCTTTGGAAACAATCTCTCTACTCCCTCGGGGTAGGGGTAAGGTCTGCGTACATACTATCCTCCCCAGACCCCATTAGTGAAATTTTACTGGGTCGTCGGAGTTGTTGTTTTTCTGTTTTTCCCTGTGGATAGGGTGATGGAGTGCGGGTGAGGTAGGTGACAAGTCAACTGATGAGTTTCAAAATTTTGAACGTATACAATGTAAGAATGAAGAAATATCGCCAGCATATTCAGTTTTGTACACATTAATCTAGCATCATGTTCCATTTACTAGTTTTTAATTTCTACATTGTCAATAGATGCTGAATGAAAAAACTGCATTCTTGTAAGATCAACAAAAAAGCTGCAAGATGAAATCCAGGTAGATTGAAAATATCAAACAAAGCTGAATCTGTCTTCAGTGTCCAATTTGCTAAACACAGGTTGAAGGAGAGATTTCCCCTTCAACTCTTAAAAACAACTCAAAGCAGAAAAGGAAGTAGGTTGAAACTACTATTGTAGCAATCAACTGTACAATTAACAAGGATCAATATTCATCAGTCTCTATCTCCGTATGTTATCGCTGCCAGAATCTGTTAAGATGGTAAGCCTTCTTGCTGTCTTCACAAACTGACTGCAAGCGCAAAAAAAAGCGAAAGGACAATTTCAATAACTGCCCCATGTGAACATGAATAAAACGAACATAAAGGAATCTGTGGTTAGAACTTCACCTGAATGGTTCGTCTCCAGTGTGCTTAACAGTGCCGGTTAAGTCTTGATAAAGCACATTGCTTAGCATCTCTGATGTTCCAACACCAAACATGTCAGCTAGCTTTTTATACAATTCTTCATACGATCCAAGGACTGAAAGGTCAAGTGTTCGACCTACATCCTCGGATTCCATGAAAACCTTGCAGTGACCGGTCTCCATTCTAAATTCAAGTTTCTGATCTTTATACCAAGGAAGTACCTCACCTGAAGAATTTTCTGGTGGACCATTATGGATAACAGCTGATCCTGAACCCTCGGAGAGATTCATCATCTTCTCCGGATTCCCATTAGATAAACTGTTGCCAACTGTTTCACTAGAGCAGCTCAGGGACATCTGCTGCTCGGTAAGAATTGGTCTACCGAATAACATGAACGTCGGTGTTTGTGTTTCCTTACGTTTCGTTGAAGTGGGAGAGGTATTACCCATGGTTAATAGGCAAGAGATATTCTCATCATTGTCAAAACTGGTCATGAAGCTGCCGCCTTTAAGAAGTCTAGAAGGCGGGACAGAACGTTCGAGTTCTTTGAATCCGAATGGCAGTAGCCCTGCCTGCAGTTTGTTGAAGTGGAGATCTGATGACGATAATCCACACTGAGCATGCCTGGCTCCCTGTATGCCTGCAGGAATGTTGTCCGATATACAACACAAAGGGCTGCTGGGGCTTAAAGGGTTGTTGAGAAGTGAAGACATCGAGAGTTGCCCAACCATGGGAAATTCAGGGGGTTGTGGAAGCCTCAACTTCTTTCGTGGGGGT